AAAAAAATGAAAGAAACATCCTAACATTGGGAAACGAACACTATGCATTATATTACAAATATATGGTTAGGTGTTTGCTTATTTACACGTGTTATGGCCAGATCAATCTCTTGACTGAGCCTCAATTTAGGCTGACGCTCAGATGTCTTTTACCATGAGTGGTAAAATCTGAAAATGATTCTATGTTTCCATTGTTGATTATTTTTAAGAATCAAAGAGCTGAGGCAACTTACACCCATAGAAACAAAAAAAGAACTCAGGTGTGATCAGCACCTATACATATTAATTATATGAAAATGCAAATCACAAAGCCTAAGCCAAAAATTAAACTGAAGTGAAATGAACGAATTCTGCCATGTTTCCTATTCAAAATATTTTACACATAAATATTCACAGTAATATACTTCCTATGCGATACAACTCACGCCGTTAATTTACAAAAAAAGTACCGTTGTCTATGTGTTGAAACGTGTCTATTGCAGACACAGATGCACGTTCAGCTCCACCAATAGTGCATATTCCTCTGATTTGCATCCTTCCTCTCAAACCAGAGCCCAAACTTGGTGAACAAAACAGTAGCCTACATTATTTTTTGACACTTCTTGAAGGATTTGACAACCCATTTCCCGTTTCCAATTTACGAGCTCTCGTTTTCCGACGTGTGAATGATAAGAGCTGAATTTGGTTTGTGTTTTTTCAGTAACTGCGTTATTTTTTCCTCATCCGAATTTGGATCTAAAGGTTTGTTGTAGTCGTCGTCGTCGTCTTCATTTTCCGAAGCCCCTTTCAGCCTTTCGGTCTCTGAATCTTGTTTTTTCTTCGCCGTGGCCATTTCAGCCGCGTGCCGTTTTCTCCATTTTGTTCTTCGGTTTTGAAACCACACCTTTACAATGAAAATGAGTTAAAAACGTATTTGAATCCACACAGAAATAATGATTTATCTCCATCAAAGATAATAAACGGGGCATAATAAATGGGAATTCATCAAAAATTTCGCCCAGAAACATTTAACAAAATCTGCTTCTCACCATGAGAAACAGATGTGTCCTGCCTAACTTGAAAAAGCTGATATAATAAAGAAAGAAAGAAATAACTTGAGTTATTTATTTAAGAGTTAAAGAATTTAAGAGTTAAATAGCCTATCTGTAACAGCCTATAGGCTAACCAACTGCAGTGAGAAAAAATAAAATATTTGAACAGAAATAAAAATCGAACAGGTTTCTGTATGAAATTCAATTGTTTTATTGCAATAAACAATTACAGTGGTGCACGTTGCAATTTTTCAAACAAAATCTAATAATGCGTGAATAACTTTGATATGGATGAAAACAATAGGCCTACATTAAGTCGCATTCGGTCGTTGTATTAAATTTGAATAATCTGATGTAAAGAAAGAAATAGTTGTATAGCCTATAAAAGTTGTCAATTAAAGAGACATATAGGAAGGTTTGAATAAACACATTTACTAGGCCGATCCCACATCTACTTCTCTTCATACGTTCCATGGATTAATGATAATGAAGAATCGAGTCATTGTCATACACAAACTATTAGGACTGTCTTACCTTGACTTGGCTCTCTGTCATTCCTAAAGAGTAGGCCAACCGCGCTCTCTCAGGTCCAGCTAAATATTTCGTTTGCTCGAATGTTTTCTCCAGGGCAAATATTTGCTGCCCGGAAAACGTTGGTCGCGTGTGTTTCCTTTTCCCGTCTTTGTCCAGCAGCACTGAGTTATGATCTGTGAAGGGCAAGATTGAAAATCCAGCTAATTTTATTATTAGGCTACATCCTATTTATGTTTGTGCTTATCGTAATATTTCGGCTCGCTAACAGCCTTCAAGAAAGTTAATCGTGCACTTACGTGGCGAACACGCAAATCTGGCATCTCTCCAGTGTGGGCTTTGCATAACTCCAGGCCAGAATATCGGGGTTCTGCCTGGAAGATCTGTCAGAGGTTTCGGATAGCGAGCCACCGCCACGGCCGCGGCACTGGGGCTGAAATACAGCCCTGGAGGTGGAGGAGGGCTCAGGCTGCTGAAGCGGGGCAGTCCAGACAAGATTCCAGCGGGAGACGATGCCGCCGCCGCCGCCGCTCCGGTGAACATCGAGGGTCGACTGAGGATGTCGTTTATTCCGTGAGGTGTGGCGATTGAGCACTGAGCACCGAAAGTCGAAAGTCCAGTGGATATTTTGATCCCCGGGGACGAGACCGGGATACCACCTGGATTCGGAGAGGTAGCTGTCGGTGAAGTGGAGGATGCTGGTCCAGTGGAAGATAACGGGTAGGCTGGGTAAAGTGGAGTCTTCATCTCGGTCATACTGTGTAAAGCAGCCAAAGGTGGGGTATTGAGTAGGAAAGCGCTCTGGCGAGACCCGTCCATTTGCCCCACCGCTAACATTACCAAGAAACTACAACTTTAACTAAATATTGCGCAAGAAGCAAGACGGTGGAGACCCGAGCAAAACGTAAAAACAAACGCAGAACAGCCGCGGATGACGGAGAGAAAGGGAAAAAACAAAAAAATACTCAAGCCTTTAGAAGAAGAAAAAAAAGAAACTTTTCTCTAAAAAATCCCAATCAGGTATACCGAAGCTTCAGACCCATCTCCTCTGGCAAAATCCATTCCCTTCTTTCAGTTCTTGCAAATATGCCATGATAGCCTACAACAGAGCGGCGTCCTTTCAATGAGAGGGTTTTTGAAATCTATAAATAAAAAGAAAGTCTTTCTGGGTAGTTCACATGAAGATCTGGAAGATAATAAAACATTTTCATCAACCTGCTGTCTTTTGCTGCAAAAAGTCAAAACTTTGAGAGCGTGGCTGGGAAAGTAGAGGGGCTCGGTGGGATGTGATTGGCTAAGGCCGGCAGTGACGTGGCCCGTGTCAGCTGAGGGTCTGAACTGAATTTAGGAGTCTGTCCTCATTGGTTCTCATTTGCACATTAAAAGAGCTGCCATCCGACCCGCTATTAAATACAAAAAGGGGACACAATCAATTTAGTCAATTTGAGATCTATTTCTTAAATAAAGGGGCATCTGCATGCGCAGGTCATGTGAGGCAGTGGGATATCTCATGAGCTTTAAAGTCTCTGTGGACACAGGGTTTAAACACTCCACAGATGAATCACAATACAATCACAGAATGGTGAAGCTTGAATAAATTTACTTCAACTTTGAGAACTAAGGTGAATATTTTTCCTACCTCCTCATCAAAACCCCTTCTGACACTTTTTTCAAATGTATTGGTTTTTGTGTTGTTTGGTTTCGTCTGGGGAAAAAAAACTAAATGCCAATTGAATAAATGTGAAATATTAGAAACTCACAGCTGCATTCTTCTGCGGGTTCTGTGTTTCTGCCTCGGTATATAGGCTATGCCAGCCACAGCGGGCTGTATCTACAGTATATCAAGAGATTTGGACTACCTAATTTACAACACACAACCAGCAGTTTAGTCCATTAAAAAGAGGCTGATTTGAAGTTAGAGAATATTATTTATATATAAAAAAGTTATGCAAGACAAAATGCTAACTACTTTTGCGTCATAGTGTATCCTTTTTTCTACAATAAAACCAGCAGCCTTACGCAAAGTGCAACGTGATGCAGCACCTAGTGGTCAAAATGTGAAATAGCATATAATAGAATGTAGCAACTAAGCCCCTTGTTGCATTAGAAATACATATATATACATATGCACTCATGTGCACATTTACTGTGTACATAATACACTCATGCACATATTTTCCACACAACTTTACAAAAACTATCAGTTTTTGATAGCTTTAATATTTATACTATATGTTAAGATTAGAAATTAGACTACTAAATTCCTTATGTAGTATAAATAACCCCCAAAACAAAAACAAATAACCTGTAAGATGAGCAGATCATGCACATATTTTCCACACAACTTTACAAAAACTATCAGTTTTTGATAGCTTTAATATTTATACTATATGTTAAGATTAGAAATTAGACTACTAAATTCCTTATGTAGTATAAATAACCCCCAAAACAAAAACAAATAACCTGTAAGATGAGCAGATGAGCAGTGCTACATCGCCCTCTACTGGTGAATCTAACACTATACTGTAGAAACAAAATGCTTGGAGGGGCAAAACTTAAAGCAGCACTATGTAACTTCTTCTGTGTTCAAAATTTGCAACATGTATATAATGAGCGAGTACATAACGAATTCATCTACCAAACTGCGTTTTTGTCTTATTCAGAATCACTACGGTACACTTGTAAGTACTTATTTGGACTATTGTAGCCTGGTCGGGTCGTCACCGCTGCGGAGTAACACATACCTGCGTGAATCGCCATAGACATAAACTTAGAGAAGTAGCTCCGGTTGGAATGTTCTTCCGCGGGATGTGTGCAGTTCTGTTTATTAACCGCTAGAGCGCCAACAGTTACATAGCGCTGCTTTAAAAACCAAAATTAGTTTATAGCCAAAACCTAATTTCACCCAGCCTCCTAAAAATGTTGTATGCATATTTCCTATACATAGAGAGATTTATATAGATATTAAAAGAAAGTGAATTTTTATTTTATATAATATTACCATAAATATCCCTCATGTATACTCTGGGTGACTTTGCGGTTTGTCAACGCATTTAATTGGACAAGAATGTATTAAATGTATGAGAGCAACTTGGATAATAAATTAGACCCTTTATTAACCACCTAAACTCAAGGTTTTATCATCACAAACTGATCTTTAACCACCAAGAGAAGCACCATGAGACATCTTGTCAGAGCACTCTAAAGTTCTCAATGATAAAGAGGTTCACAGACTGTAAAGAATCTGTTTTAAACCAAATAAAGCAACCACTTTTTGCACTGCTTATTAGACCCACTAGTAAATAGATTTCTTTTTGACATTTCTGTTCTATCAAATTTTCTTTTAAAATGACTGGTTTTTAGCACAAGCTTACTTATCTTTCAGGCAATATACCCAAAGTCAATAAATAAATCACAAAAAAAGGAGCAGAGTCATTCTGTAGTACGAATGTTGGACTTTATTTACATTTACTCCCGAGCCATAAGTTTCTGCTTCTTCAGTTTCTTCTGAGAAACCTGTGAAGACAAAAACATATATATTTGGTTAGAGCACTCACCAACAACAGCTACTAAGAAATCAAGTCCTTCACACATTTAATGCACAACGGCTGCTCAGAAAACAATTCTTTTCATCATTAATCCAAAGGTGTCCTAAGATGTCATCACTACAGCCAAGTGTACAGTTTGTAGGGTTTTTTTTTTCCCTCTTTAGGAGAACATTAATGTCCATACCTTTTTCTTCTGAGAAACCTCTTCCTCTGGTTTGGGAACAATCTGCTCCTTCTCAGTGAATCACTACGGTACACTTGTAAGTACTTATTTGGACTATTGTAGCCTGGTCGGGTCGTCACCGCTGCGGAGTAACACATACCTGCGTGAATCGCCATAGACATAAACTTAGAGAAGTAGCTCCGGTTGGAATGTTCTTCCGCGGGATGTGTGCAGTTCTGTTTATTTACCATAAATATCCCTCATGTATACTCTGGGTGACTTTGCGGTTTGTCAACGCATTTAATTGGACAAGAATGTATTAAATGTATGAGAGCAACTTGGATCATAAATTAGACCCTTTATTAACCACCTAAACTCAAGGTTTTATCATCACAAACTGATCTTTAACCACCAAGAGAAGCACCATGAGACATCTTGTCAGAGCACTCTAAAGTTCTCAATGATAAAGAGGTTCACAGACTGTAAAGAATCTGTTTTAAACCAAATAAAGCAACCACTTTTTGCACTGCTATATTACCATAAATATCCCTCATGTATACTCTGGGTGACTTTGCGGTTTGTCAACGCATTTAATTGGACAAGAATGTATTAAATGTATGAGAGCAACTTGGATAATAAATTAGACCCTTTATTAACCACCTAAACTCAAGGTTTTATCACAAACTGATCTTTAACCACCAAGAGAAGCACCATGAGACATCTCGTCAGAGCACTCTAAAGTTCTCAATGATAAAGAGGTTCACAGACTGTAAAGAATCTGTTTTAAACTTTTTTTTTACCAAACCCAAACTTTTGAATAATAGTGTACATGTTGCTCAGACTAAGAGGTGTTTTCATGGTGAATTCCAAAGGTGTCCTAAGATGGTCATCACAACAACATGGACAGAATGGTTTTAAAAGGCAGCTTTAAAACAGGACAAAACCTCACCTGAGCACAACGACCAACACCACCGTTGTAACGACGGAAGGGCACACACTGGTGCTTAACCATAACATCCTTCAGGTACTTGTTAGCCTTGCGGATGTGCATGCCTTTGATGGCCTGGGCAGTCTCACGGGTGTTCTGAGGACCAAACATCAAGACAACACTTAATAACAGATCACCAAGTAAACCAGCCTCCATTACTTTACAAACTAGAAATGTGGCTACTCAGAAAATACTTAACCCTTTTCACAAATACTTCAAAAGGTGTCCCAAGTTGGTTATTATTGCAGCCACAATGTACATTTGCAACCTCTGCTTATCCTACAAGCAATTCTATCCAGATATAGAGTGCAGAAGGCGAGTACCATTAAATAAAAACCTCATTCATTCTCTCCATGAGTTCTGAGGTTAAACGATGACAAACCATAAGTGTGATTGCAAAAAATATATAAAAAATTCCCGGTGAAGAATTACACTTCCATAATTAAAATAGCTATTGGAATTTACCAACAAACCGCATCATGTGGTCACTGAATCAGCACTATCATGAAGCCTTGCAAAGGATGCAAATCAAGTCAACCTCAATATAACACTTGCAAATATTTGATTAAAAAAAAAAATAATGTACTTATTGCATATTTTTAAACAAATGTTTGTGAATACGTTTTTGGTGCATAGTTTCCTCAAAAGTGAGATTTTTTTAAATTCCCATGGAATAGAAAATATATTTTCCCCTCTCTGGGCCTTTCATTTATACGCTTTCAGGAAGTTTTACGATCTCAAATCTTCAGAGAGTGTCAGAGAGATGCTCTGTCACGAATGTATCCGAATTACAGCTTCCTACATTTCTTCTGATGATTCCGTTTAGAGCGCACTGGACTACTTGAAATCTTGAAAAATAAGCATCTTCAAAAACAAAAAATCTAAGAAATATTATGGTTTAGCCCTGTATAATTACAAAATATGTATAAATTGTCTATAAAAACAGTTGAACTATTTATTGCAGTGCAGTAAAATATGACATAAAAGTATAGGGGTTATTTTAAGATATAATAAATATTATTTCAATGAATCTATTATTTAATCAACGATAAATAATCTTTCCTCATATTAGGAATATAAAAAATAATGCTGTCAGCGCTAGAGGGCAGCACAGGACAAAAATACGAATAGTCTTCCTTCTCAACGTGTCGGTGAAAAGGCTTAAACATGACACTTGACTTTATTTCGAATTACATTTTCTAATACTCCAAATTTTGCTTTCTTTCTTATTATCAAAATAAAAAATATTACCATTTATAACGTCAGTAATTAACATTTTGGTGCATCTAATTAATCTAATTAAGAGCATATAATTGGAGCATCATAGTTAACATTCATTGTATTAATAATAAATCTATGCAGGAACCCATTATGATAAATTAAATCATTCTAAGTGAGTTACATATAAGTCTACAGCTGCTGTCTGTAACAAATAAGGAAAGAAATGTGTTAAGAGACACAATTGTCATTTATATCATGATGAAACTGCCTGTTGTCATAAGTAATAGGTTGGAAAATGAGACTAAGCAGCAGTAACCCCATGGCATCAGTCAAAGCATTCATTTTGCACAAAACACAAAACATATATGAGACTTGCAGCCAGAGTCAAAAACTCAATATTGCAACCACATTTCCTGTTAAGAAAAGGAATAATTTCCTTTTGTGTGTAAAATGCTGCATCAGTCAGACATTCATCTTTGCTTCCTCTGTTTCTCCTTAATGCAGTGCTTTTGCTATTGGAGTGAGAGACGGTGGATGTGAGCTGTCTGTCACTGGCACAGGTACACGCTGTAGAATTTCATGTCGTTCCCATTAAGATGCTTCTGCTTTTGCTGACTCTTACCTGCACAGAGGTAACGTATCCACTGTGTTTTGGAGCCTCTCACTCGGCCGTATCGAACCGATTCTCTTGTATCCTGCTCGGAAATCTGCTGAAGCTCACATGCAGGTTAAATTACGACGTCCCTTGAGAACAACTTCAGGATGATGTTAGTGCTGCGAATGGTCGACGTGTACCCAGCATTACATTACAGCAGATTTGTTAGCCTTGCATGGGCTTGTTCAGTGCGACAACAATATATTGATCCATTAAACCTGTAGACCTCTGTTATCAAGCCTTTCATATGCTGATCTCATCAAATATCTTATTCTTCTAAATATAGTATTTTGCTTATTGGACATCTGAATGTTGTTGACACTGCATTAGTTTCTGCTCAGTCATATCCTCATGGTACCTTGTCCTACTCGTTCAAGCATTTTTCTGACATGCTCCTGTTCTTAAATAGGAAACCTCATTATATTTCCAGAGAAACCTTCTATAATCGAATACAGTTGTCTTTGTCAGGTAGGAGTTTCTAAGAATTGCGCAATCTATTCTAATCACATCTCCATAAATATCTTGAGCGATTTTCCATTCCATTGAAGGCACTTTATTTTGGTGATTGAATTTAGGCCCAATCTGAAAGAGGTCCTCAGTTACTCTCGAGTTCAGTGCATCCCAGGTTGGACTGATCATATGGCGTCTTCTTATAATTGTAGGCCACCTGTCAAAACTACTATGTGAAAAAAGTCAGACATATGTTATGTCAAGTTAATGAAGTCAGTAAATCACCAAATAATTAGATTTAAATGGGTACTACTGAGCTTGACAATGTAAGTGCAGTCACCCAGCAGGATTTGGTTAATACACATTGAAATATTTTCTCTTAAATACCTTTTATTTCCAGAATACAGTCACATATACACGTAAAAAAGAGAGTGCTGTTATTTTTCACTAAAACTATTATCTATAAAGTAATATATAAAATAACTTTAAATTTAATTTAAAATTAAACCAAATAAAACTAAAAAGCTTTAAAAAAAAAAACTAAATTCAAATCATGAACAAATACTGTAACAGTATATCATTGATACTAAAATACTTGGTTCTTCATGTGAAAAATTTAAATGTTTTGTCATATAATATAATAAAAGGATATATCAATTCTATGAACATTATATCATTTTATATAATATAAATAAATTATATAATATAAATAATTTGCATCAATTCAGCCTCGTTTAATGTTTTATGTAAGTTTATGCTTCAATAAATCAAAGAAATCAAGGCATTCTTCTTAAGCCATATGGGGTAGAATTATTGAAAATATATTTTCTTTGCAGCAAAAGGCAGATCAGCCTTGTTTAATGTTTTATGCAAGTTAGTAAGGATTAGATCAGGCAAAACTGTTGCGATGTGATGGGCCAGCTTACAATAGGTCCCAAGAGTTTTTAAAAAATGTTTTATCCCATCCTAGGTCTTCATGCTGTTTCTCCTGTGAGAGGGCAGTGGGTTAGAGAGCTCTGATTAATGAGAGGCCGGAGGGAGGACAGTCATGCAAGCAAGAGAGAGAGAGAGCATGTGAGTTATGAATTGCATTCCTGTGTAAATGTACAAGACTCTAAGCGCCAGAGTGACTGTTGGTAGAATGAATTGTGATGAACTGCCAGACTGTCGCTGTGATCCTTGGGTGTGTTGCAGCAGCATGAGTCGTGAGGTGTGCTCTTCCTCACGACATCTCTCTTTCTCTCCCTCCTCCTCCTCACTGCAGATAACTACAGAGTGATCAAGAGGAGGGGTGAGACTTTTGGAAAAGGAAAGACTGCAGTACTGCAGAAGCTGGGCGTTGGCTGTGAATTTGAGGAGAGGGAGTAATGCAAGATGGTGAACAAATGAGGCCCAGTGGAACGACTGAATGTTAGAGAGGAGATAAAACGGGAAAGATTAATTGCTAGAGGAAGAGAGTGAGAGAGAGAGAACTAAGAATAGGTTGTATCAACACTTTAGTACTGCCTGTCAAAAGACTGCAACTGACATCTTTAAGTTAACAGTCAATGAGCTTTTAATTGCTTATTGATGGTTTTCAGTGACCTCTTTCACCTTTGTGGGATCAGTTAACCATTTACATACAACACAGGACTGATGCATGTAATAATAAATCAAATAAAAATTAAATAAATTAAGAAGTAAAGCAATATCCAAATGATCACATTTATGAATAATTAGAATTAGCATGGCATGGAGGAATAATACATGGCAAAAATTATTTTAAA